TGGTCTATGGTGCTAAAGCCTTTTCGGAAACCGGCTTGTTCGGGAGGCTGGAAGTCGTCAAGTCTGCGCGCGAGACGATTCGTAATGACTCTCGAAAACAGCACTTAGCCGCGGCTCAGAAGGGAAATCGGTCTGTAGTTCTTCAAGAGAGCGTTGTCGCCTTTCTTGAAGAACAAGACCACCGTACTTCTGCTCCACGCCTCCGGTGTAATGCCACCATGGAGGACGGAATTAAAGAGCTTCTGAAGGACTTCAAGTACCGGTTTTCCACCCGCTTTCAGAAGCTCCGCTGTAATTCCGTCCTCGCCTGGGGCCTTGCCGTTTTTAAGGTGCTGGAGAGCCATTCTAATCTCGCTCAGACTGACGTCCGGGATATCATCGGAATAATGTCGGATAAGACTCGCTCTTGGATCGTTACTCACACTTGCGTGCGGCTCCAACGATGACGTGTACAGCTGCCCATAGAACCTCTCAATCTCACTCAAAATCTCAGGTGCCCCGGAAACGATGCTGCCACATTCTGTCTTCAGCTTTGACAGTTGGCGCTTTCTGGCAGACAGATCTCTGGCAAAGACTTTGGAGCCTTGGTTCCGCTCGATCGCTTCTTCAATACGAGCTGTATTGAAGTTGCGTAAGTCCCGCCGCATGCATTTGGAGATCTGTCTGTTCAGTTGCCTGTATGCTGTTAAATCTGTTGAAGAATGTAGCTTCATCTCCCGTCTAACAGCCATGAGATTAAGAGTGTGATCGGAGAGTTTTTGTGTTCTTCTGCGGCGGGTCTTGCAGAGCTTAGCTCCGACCGCATGGACAGTTTCCACGAGCTTGTCATTCAAATCGTCCACTTCATTGCAGTCTTCTAGGCACTGAAAACGGTTTTGTAACTCGAGCTGAAAAGTTTCGGGACTTTGGATTAGAGCACGAGGGGGACGGAGCGTTGACTTCATTAGACGAGACCTCTCCAACTTAACGTTTAGGTTCAGTGTGCCTCTAACCATTCGGTGATCGCTGCCGGTTTTCAACCTCGCGATCACTGAGACATCACTGAACAGTTGTCGTCTGGTCGTCATAATGAAGTCAATCTCATTTTTTGTCGAACCGTCGGGGCTCGACCAGGTCCACTTCCTGTGGGGCCGCTTCTGGAAGAAAGAGTTCATCATAAAGAGTCCCTCTTTCTCCATGAAGTCGGCCAGCTGCTGGCCCCTTGGGTTCCGTTGCCCTATTCCAAATTTCCCTACTTTCAGCTCACCGTTCTCTCTTGTGCCTAGTTTTGCATTGAAGTCTCCCATTAACACCGTATATTGGGTTTTGGAGGAATGCATGGCTCTAGAGATATCCTCATACATTTCCTCCACCTCCTGATCGGGGTGTGCCGAGGTTGGTGCGTAAACCTGTATGACCTTCAGCGAATACCGTTTGGTGATTCTGAGTATAAGGTACGCAACCCTCGTCGACACACTCTCAATCTTTACAACGTTGTTAACGAGAGACTTGTGGACGATAAATCCGACACCTCCTTGGGACAGATGGTCGCCCTCCCGGTAATAGAGCAAGTTGCCGGATTCGAGGATTACCGTGTCCTCCCCCTCTCTTCGGACTTCGGATAATCCTATAATATGCCAGCGTAACTTGTCTATCTCTTCTTCCAGCTCCACAATCTTCTCGTCAGTCCTCAGGGTGCGTGCGTTGTATGTTGCCAGGTCGAGTCGTCGTAGGTGGCAACCGAACCTGCACCGGAGATTCTTAGCACCCCCTGCCCCGCCGTTACCATGGTCGCCACCGTAGCCAGGAATAGCGGGGCCGCCGGGGACTGGCGGCCGTTTATTATTGTCATTGCTCATGGGGGGTATATTGCCATAGTTGCCACGCTTGGCGAGCGGGTTGGCAACCGCAGTTTTTTTATTGTTATTTTGGCTATTATCAGGAAGATGCTGCTGCCCATCTCCTGCCTGTTTCCCTTTGTCGCCTTTTACGACACCCACGGGAAGATATATAATAGAATCACCTCGGGAAGATATATAAAATCATATAATAGAATATATTTATAAATTTTAAAGTTAAGTATATACCTTCAAATTGTTTTATAAAATACCACTGAACACTCGGTGAAAAGTTAGAAGTTGGGAAAACGATTCGAGCAAAAATGTCCAATAAGCAGTTTCGTTGGTTATTTAGATCCTACCCTTTTCACTCCATTTAATGATTCCTTCTATTTAGAATTAATCTACCGGAACTGATACGTATGGACCCACAGCGATACACTATTGCCGTATTCGCCTTTTGCGAATCGGATAACTAGTAAGTATATAGTTTAGACTTAGTATAAATTTGGTATACAATTTTTGACATTATAAATCGTAATATCTAGATAATATTACCTCGTGTAGTGGCGAGTAAGAATACCCACTACCCCATATCTTCACGTGGGTGTCCTAAGAAGCGACAGAGGGGAACTGAGGCAGAAGATCAGCATCTTTCTGATAACAGCCAAACAACAATAAAAAAACTGCGGTTGCCAACCTGCTCACCAAGCGTGGCAACTATGGCAATAGAACCCCCCTGATGAAAGTTACGAAGAGACGACCCCCAGTCCCCGGCAGTCCCACTATTCTTGGCTACCGTGGCAACCATGGTAACGGCACGGCAGGGCAGAGGGTGCTAAGAATCTCCTGTGGAGGTTCAGTTGCCACGTAAAACGACTCGACCTGGCGACATATAACGCACGCACCCTGAGGACTGATGAGAAGATCCTGGAGCTGGAAAAAGAGATAGACAAGTTGAGCGGGAATATTATAAGATTATCCGAGGTTTAAAGAGAGGGGGAGGACATAGTAATCCCCGAATCCGGCAACTTGTTCTATCACCGGGAGGCCGAACATGTCCCAAGGAGGTGACGGATTTATAGTCCACAAGTCTCTCGTTAACAACGTTGTAAAGATTTAGTGTGTCGATGAGGGTTGCTTATCTTATATTCAGAATCACCAAACGGTATTCGCTGAAGGTCATACAGGTTTAAGCACCAACCTCAACACATCCCGATGAGGAGGTGGAGGAAATGTATGAGGATATACCTAGAACCATACATTCCTTCAAAACTCACTATACGGTGTTAGTTTAGTTTAGTTTAGTTTACGACGGGCTGTTTTCCGCAACTCCACGTCTAGGCGCGTATTTTGCGTGTGGGCAGGAATAATGTGATTATTCGAGCCATGAGATCTCCCCGAAGAAGCTCAACAGTCCCTTGATGTTGCATGCAACTTCGGGGAGTGATCCCGGCGTGCCGAGATGTTTAGCCCTATACGTAGCGACCTCCGGACGTTTCAGTAGCACGTGGGCCGCCGTTTCTTCCTCCCCCATACATGCCCTGCACAGGGGACTATCTGTAACACCTATAGTAAATAAATGTTTGTTAAAGGTGCCGTGTCCTGAGATTGCACTTGTTACTATCCTGATCTGCGGCTTGTTCAGTCTCATTAAAACTTTGGTTAAGCGACTGTTTATTTCAGGCAGGGCCTCCCTAGCTTGTCTACAGTCTACTAGATTTTTCCAAAGCTGAGCGTGTTAATTAGTGAAGTGTATGTTAATTAGTGTCTACGTACCAGTGAACGAACGTTACCAAAGGGGATTGGTATGATTGGTTCCGGCCCTATAGTGGCCAGAGCCGATCCTCTTCTGCCCAGTTCGTCTGCTGCATCGTTGCCTCTGGATCCACTGTGTCCCTTTATCCATTGCAGAGTCACATTGTTGTTTTTACATACCTCATTTAATCGTTGATGGCAATCATATATTAGTCCCGAGTTCACCTCATTGCAACTCAGAGCTTGTAGTACCGCCCTACTGTCGGTCAGTATTCTGATGGGGAAGTCATTAACCTTCCTAGCATCTATTGCTATGGCCGCTTGAATGAAACCCATACAATCCGCCTGAAAGACCGTGTTATAGGTACCCAGCGGTGTGCATATGTGAATATTTAGGTCTTCAGAGAAAGCTCCAGAACCTACACCTTCATTTGTTTTAGAACCATCGGTGAAAACTCTAAGCTCTTTTGGGCTTAATCCTTCCGACTGGCTGTTTTCATTTAATTGTATCTTGTATTTCTTATCGAAAACAAATTGTTTAGGAATTTTATCGTATTTGGCTTGTAGGATAGGAATTTTTGAGTGAATTCTATCAATTATGCCTGTATGAGGGACACTATTCTTACTCCAAAGATTTAGGGTCTTAAGTCTGATGGCAGCTAAAGTCACTTCTTGTTGTATATGTAGATGAAGCGGAGTTAGCTCCAGCATCGCTTCTAAGGCTGCTGTTGGCGTAGTTCTTATGCAGGCTGTGGCAGCCATACATGCCATTCTCTGGTAGCGCTGAAGCTTCTTAATTGTGGTGGCTTCATTTGTCTTGGTCCACCATACCAGAGCGCCGTATGTGATCATGGGCCGAGTTACAGTTTTGTAAAACCACAGTATGATTTTTGGCGTCAGTCCCCATCTTTTGCCAATCATGTTTCTGCATTGCTAGAAAGTTATACTAGCTTTGTTGATTTTGTTTATTATGTGTTTATTCCAGTTAAGTTTGCTTTCCAAAGTAAGACCTAAATATTTTACCTCAGAGGATAGCTGGAGTTTAGTGCTGAAAAGACTTGGAAGATGATAGTTATTCAGCATTCGTTTTTGTGTGAACATTACTAAAACCGTTTTATTTGGATTGACGGTTAAGTCGTATTCCCTGCACCATATCTCCACTATACGGAGAGCGGCTTGGGTCAGGTCGCACACTATGCTTGCTGTCTTTCCAGAGACCAGTATTGTCAGGTCATCAGCATAACCTACTGTATAGAAGTGATTCGCATTTAATTTGCTGATGAGTTCATTAATGACCATATTCCACAGGAGAGGTGAGAGAACTCCACCCTGCGGGCAGCCTTTCTTAATTTGGATTGGTTAAGATTCACCAGCAATCTTTATTATTCGTGTACTGAGCATGTAAACTATCCAGTCGATCAGTGCCTAGTGTAAGTTCATTAGCGCCGACCCCCTTAATTCCATTTCACACATCGTCTTTAGGAGAAAGGATGTGAGGCTAATGGGCCTATAGGATTCAGGGTCAGTGTAGTTGCTCTTACCTGGTTTGGGTATGAATGTGACTTTCACTTCCCTCCATCCCCTAGGAACATATTTAAGAGCCAGACAGACTCTCAATATGGCAACAAGTCTGACTATTAGGGCTTTACCCCCCACTGTAGGGGATTTTGTCCATCGTTACCACTCTCTGTGCTAAATTCCAGTCTTCTGCTGTTGGTGTCAGTATGTCGTCATGCCGGTTTGCCTCCTGGGTTACGCAGCAACCTGGGAAGTGCGTTTCAATTAGGATGCGTTGGGCTTCATCCGGCGATGTTGAGTAGCTACCGTCGGGTTTCTTTAGAGACATGGATCTCGACGTGTTCTGTTTAGCTAGAATATTCCTTATCCTATTTGCTTGTTCGCAGGTTTCTATGTTGCCACAGAATTTACGCCACCCAGTCGAGCGTCGATACCTGATACATTTTTTGTATTCAGACTTAGCTTTCTTATATAGTAGCCAGTCTTCATCTTTATTCTTACGTTTCCTATCGTGTTCTTTACCCCACCACGGTTGCTTTACCTCGGCATGTCTTGGTGGAGTGATTTCTGGACATGATTCATGGTAGCTGTCTATCATGGCCTTAGTAACAGCTACTACCTGTTCTTCTAGGAGCGACTGATCTGCTATAGTATTTATCCCCTCAAAACCCGCGAGCGAAGACGTCAGCCTATTTAGGTATTTTGTTTTATCCGTCTTGCGGGGATTTCTCCATAGTGGTGTAGAGGAGATATCGACCTGTAGTGCGAAGCAGATCCATTTATGGTCTGAGCATGAGGCCTCTTTCGACACATGCCATCCCGTGATTAGTTTGGCTGCTCCTTCTGTTGCAAGTGTGAGGTCGATTTGTTTGTTTATGAAAGTATTTTCAGAACCTATGTTTAAAATGGTTAGGTTAGTACTAAATAAATATTCAACTAAAACCTTACCTCGTTCATTTGGTTTTTCCATTCCCCAAAGGGGATGATGTGTGTTGGAGTCCGTCCCGATCACAACCTCTAGTCCGGTCCTCTCGCAGAAGTTCACCAGCCTGCCGAGGTCATGAGGGGGAAGAGTGTCTTCCTCCGGCATGTAGACCGAGGCGACGACTAATCTTCTCTCCTGTGTGTATTGTATTGCCACGGCATACATGTCTCTAGAACAGAAATCTGTTAATGGTTGTGCACAGATATCCTTAGTAGTGTAAATACACGCCCTAGGCTTGTCGTGTTCAGAGCTGGAGAATAGCTTACCTTTTAGATTGTTTAGGCCTTTAATTTTACCAGCCCCAACCCACGGCTTCTGGATTAGGGCTATGGCAGTCCTTTGAACCTCCAACCACTTGCGTAATTGAGCCGACGCAGTTCCGCTGTGGTGGAGGTTGGCCTGCACTAGGCTAGTTTTGGACGAAGGGCACGCCATCATTGATCGCGTCCTCCCCGTCCCCGCCCAAAAATAGGCCTGCCAGAAGATCTCGGGTCTCATCCTCAGCCACCGAGTCGGAAGTGGTCGGCAAAATGCAGTCCTCTTCGTCACTCAGTGAGCTGCCGCTGAGCCCGATCTCCACTGGGGGCTTCGGCTCAATTGTGCAGGCCGTTTTTTCACTGGACTTGGCCTCCAGTGATTCCGCTGTACCGGTAACCATGGCTCCGGTATCCATAACTTCCGGGTTGTTTTCTACCTCTTTGCTCGGTGGAGTGTCAAAGAATTTACCTCCACGACCCTGGAATTTTACGTATACCGCCCCGCATACACATGCGAGACGGCGTCCGGCCTTCATCAGGGTCGGGATATGATCCTCCGGCACCGAAACAACGAGGAACCACCCGTCCGTCTGCTTATCAGACTTGATTAACAGCCAGTAACTGATGTCAACCCAGCGGTTCTGGTACGCCAGCACGCGACCAATGTCGCGTGAGTCTTTCCAGGCTCCTTGGACATCAGGGATAAGGATACCACATTTGATTCTTTGTGGTATCTCTGACTGTTTCTTTATTGTCAGCAAGGTGTTGGATTTAAAGTCAAGGGTAGCAATATTCCCCTTCAACCAGTCCAGAGCCTTCTGATCGTAGCACCACAGTTTCAGGACACCCTCCGTATAAACGGGTTTGCCCTTAAAAACTGGGCCCGACGCATCAGGGTCCTGGCTACTCCAGACCTCGCTGATCATCTTCCTTTGTATTGCCACGAGGATGTCGTCTGCTACTTCCTTCGTAATGTGACCTGAACGCGCACACGTTAAGGCCACACCAAATCGGCTTTAGTAGCGGAAGCGTAGCTCGTTCTTGCAGCCTTTGGTTGCTGTTCGAGTCGCACTTTTTTGTGTTCCCCTCTAGGCGAGGTGGACTCTTCCAGCATCCTTTTGGCTGCTCTTTCCTTCTTCCCAGGACGCTTGGCCGCTCGCAGCTTCCTGGCGGATATCCTAGAGCTGGTTCCCGCGGCCGCGACTTCCACTTGGGCTGGATTTTTATCCTTCCCAGCTTCAGCGCGGCTACTGGTTCCAGCGCCAAGCACCCCAGTCGCAGTAGCTTGCCCAGCCTCCTTGGTTTTAGTTTCGGAAGCAGCCAATGCGGATCGTTCTCTTCGGCCTTTTTCCCGCTACTTCTTGTTCTTCTTTTTGGCCTTTCCACTACTGCCTGCAGAGATAGACCCTCCTGATGGTCCTTCAGGTCGGCAAGTCACCTTTTTGGGTGCCTTGCCTTTCCCCTTACGGCTCACCACTTGCCAGGCAGCAGAGAAAAGGTCGTCAGTTCGTAGTGGCTCCGCAGTTTTGTTACTTGCGGGCTCTTGTTCTTTTTTCTCGTCCAGCTCCTTGGAGCTGGTTTTGGAAACGTTCAGCGAGGTAGTTGTCCCTTTGTTGGGGGCACCTACGCTGGACGGTACTGTCCATGGAACCGTCGGTTTAGTGACGGTTCCCCCTTGTTCTTTGGTGTCTCTGGTAAGCACCTCTGACACCTCTCCCTCTTTATTATTGGGCCTTAAATTGTCCATAATTTTTTGTTCTTTAAAATTCATCCCCCCGGCTTCCCACCCTCCATGGAGCCCGCACCTTTGGGAACGCCCTACTTTAAAAAAAGAATTTCAGGAGTTAGGATTACCGGGAGAATATAGGGACGCGAAGTTGGCTCACAGCGCAACATCGGGAGCTCGATCCAGCTGGTAGATGGGGCTGACAAGGCCCATCCCCACCACCCGAATTAACTGTCACTTGCTTCGTCAGCATGGCCTTTACTACCACCCAGCCCCCTTTTCAGGAAAACTAGGCAGCCCCCACATCCCTCGCCTGCGACCCTCTGACGGGGCGCTTGGCCATTTCTCTATCTGTGGCTAGCAGATAGGGCCACCGTTTAGCTTGAAATCCGGACCAAAGAGGGCGTGTTGCCTCTCGCCACTATATACCCCAGCGACGATCGGCTCAACCCTCCAGGACTCCTTCATCCCCGCGTACGGCGCTCGACTGCGCAGGTCCTAGCGCAGGTGTTAGTCCACCGGATACACCCACTCTCTCCGGCGGAACTGTCCCCTCCTCCTTTCTCATCCGGGATTGGGACCGACAATAGCGGAGTTATACGGTGTTAATGGGAGACTTCAACGCAAAACTAGGCACAAGAGAGAACGATGAGCTGAAGGTAGGGCAATTTGAAATAGGGCAACGGAACTCAAGGAGCCAGCAGCTGGCCGACTTCATGGAGAAAGAGGGACTATTAACACTTCAGCTTATTGATCTGTTGGGTTATTACGGTTTTCTTTGCTTCTACTGCGGATATTGTTATTATGACGTTTATCGCGCCCAGAAAGTCCGAGAATAATAGCCCTTTTCACAGCTCACAAAGCAACCATGAGTTTCCCCATATGACCAGTAGTTAAGGACCACGTCTCTGAACCATTTGGCTTCACTGGCATTACTCCCTATTTATACACTCTTGTTTTTAAGTGTTGAAGTGAGGTACGTGAGGTATTTCACATTTACTTGAACGTTTTATTTTCTTTCAATTACAAACTTTAATAATAAGTAAAGACCGACTTACACTTCGACAAGTACAGTAGCGAGTTAATTTGCGAACCTGGCTAGTTAAGAAAAAAAATCTCGTTTGAACGGAAATCAGTGAGTTAAGTAGCAAATTAACAATTAAGTTGAACGGGATAGCCGGCTATTCTTTTTTTCGGCGAGTCAAGTTCGAAGTGTTGCTCTCCCGCGCGTCTCTCGCCACACGCTAACTACCTAAACTCGCCGCTCGAGTGAACTTATCGAAGTGTAAATCGGGCCTAAATCATAAGGCTGTGAAAAGATGCTTGAGCAGCTTGAGTTCAATTTGCGGGCGATTAAGGCTTTTTACACTTCGGCAAGTACAGTAGCGAGTTAATCTTATGTGTTTAAGAATATGTTATATAAGTGTTATATTACAATAGGTCGGGGAGGGAGTCTCTTTTTGTTTGTATAAAATTTAAGACAAATCTCTGGTCAATACATAAAGGACATTAAGAAAAAGAAAAATAAAAAGTAAAAACACTTTCCCACCATTTTTGAATGGTTCATCTGTCCGCGAAAATGATTGGATCTAACGAAGAAATTCGATAGATTATGAAGTTTTAATGGAAGTAATTGGAAGTAAAGACTAGAAATGAGTTGGGGGGTGACTTGAACTTTAAGCCTAGTCAGTTTGAATAGCCTATCATGTAGATGATGTCATGGGGGTCATGGTTGAAAAGGGTCAAAAATTCTCATTACACTCCTAGGGGTCACAATGGCCAAAAACAAAAAAAATGAGGGGTGTCTCGAACTTTAGGCATAGTCAGTTTGAATAGCCTATCATGTAGAACATATCATGGGGGTCATGGTTGAATAGGGGCAAAAAGTTGTCATTACCCTCCTAGGGGGTCAAAATGCCCAAAAACCAAAAACCAAAGAATTAAAAATTCTTATTTCGGCTATAACTCTGCCTCTTTCGAAGGTTCTTACACAGTCTACTTCTCGCATCCCACTTGCTACAAAAAAAAGGAAAATTGCGACACAAGCCGCGAAAAAAATTTGTGACCTAATGAGTGTCAGTAATAGTAGTACAAAGTTGGTTCAAGCATTTCCAGCCCGGTTATTTTGATGTCGAAGATATAGTTCGCTATGGTCGCTCTCATACGGATAAATAGATGCCATTTTTGAAAAAGTGGAGCAAGATCAGCATATTTTTTAACAATGGTAGAGCTAAGCGGTAGCTTTTGCTGTCGCACGGATGGGCCAGCTCGAACCGGGGTGGTACCACGACCTCACAAAATACCAGCGTGAAGTAGAGGTTTACCTCTGCGTTGCGCTTGGTGAGTGCAGGTGGCTGGAGGCCCAATTCCCCCCCTCCCCATCAACATGGTAGTGGAATTAAATAAAAGACTACCCCAGGAGAGTACCAGCACCCCTGGAGAATCCCTTGCTGAGCATCCACGACCAAACTACTTCACTCCTGAGCGTGGGTGCTCAGGCTGCCCCGCGTATTCTGGGGGGAGGGGGCAAAATTCCGCTCGCGACTAATGCTGCTCGGGGCAAGCGGAGCAATACAACCAAGGCGACCCCTGTCACGCTATCCGCGAATTTTTGCAATATCAGGGGACTTCATTCCAACCTTAACGCTGTCCATTACCATCTAGTGACGGCGAAGCCGGTCTTGCTCTTTTTAACCGAGACTCATGTGTCCTCTCCGGCTGATACTTCATATCTCTCCTACCCGGGTTACAAATTGGAACACTCCTTTGTGCCCCGGGCTGGAGTTTGCGTATACGTCAGAGAGGACATCTGTTTTCGACGCCTCGGCAGTCTTGAAGGTACGGACCTGTCCATACTATGGCTGCGCGTAGACAGCGACGACCTTCTGCTGACCTCTCATCCGGACGGATATCAGGTCTCCGTCGATGCCCCTCTGGGCTCTTCGGACCATTGTCTGATCCGGAGTACGGTGCCACTCACGCTCCAATCGCAGTTGCGATCTGCAGCTTGCCGCCGTGTTTGGCACTATAGGTCAGCTGATTGGGACGGGATGCGGTCTTTTTTTGCATCGTACCCTTGGGGGCGGGTTTGCTTCTCGCCGGAAGATCCCAGCGTTGTTGCCGATTCTGTTGCTGATGTGGTACTTCAGGGTATGGAACTTTTTATTCCATCCTCTGTGGTGCCCATCGGAGGCTGATCCCAGCCATGGTTTGGTCGCTCCTGTAAAATAGCATCACGCTATAAGCAGGAGTGCTACCGGGCCTGGGCTGACGCATCAACGTCTCGGGATGTAAACACCAGCGCACTTAAAAATAAGAATACAGGACATAGGAAGAATTGAGGATTGACCACAAAACAGTTTAGACCTATTGAAAAAGTCTGGCTATACAAAAAAGTTTGAAATTTGGGTACCACACGAGCTCACTGAAGGAAACCTAATAAATCGTGTCCTCAT